TGAGGTTTCGCTTTTCCAGCTTGGCAGAGCGCAACAACTTTACCAAGTGTGTGAAGGTATGAAGAAACCTTTCATCGTCCTGGGTTTTTGATCGAGGATTGTTGCAACCCATAATCGGAATACCTCATCTTGGAAATTCAGCTCGTTTAGTTTGCTATGGGTAGCTTGGGAGTGATTCTTGGCAACCACTTGTATTTGGGGAATTCCTAGATGCTTCTGAATGTGCCATTTTCGAAAAGAAATCGACTACTGTAGCCTTTCCAAGAGCCTGTTTGAAGCAGCTCCATTGGGTCTTGGAAGAAAATGTCGGATGTTCCACATTTTCCGAGTTCTACGGGGCTACCAGCTACTGGATCGTAATTGCTTTCTTAATCCCATGATTTCAAAATGCTCTGGCCATCCAGAAGACTTGGTGTATTTCCAAGATAGGGATGCTGAAGAGCCTGCGCTCGAAACTTTGTCAGGTGCTAGCGCTGGCATTGGAGCAATGAGCTGATCTCCGAAGGTTGGTTTGAAGTTGCCGCGAAGAAGATGCCATGTTGAAGTGAGTTTGGGGTAGCCGTGTCGTTTCTCCAAAGCGTGGAGCCACTGGTGAAAAAAACAGAACATGTGACCATATCCACAAGCGTCATACGTGGTCATAAGTCCAAATAAAATCTAATAGAAATGACTTGCTTGTCAAAACATTGTATATCATTTGTGCATATGATTAAGAAAGATTAAGAACGCATGTAGATATGTATATAAGGTAAGGTAACGTAGCGTAACGTAATGTAATGTATAATGTTAGTATGATCAAGATTGCATAAGTATGCTGAAGTCATAGAGGTACTTATTTTTGAAACGGTATATAGATCTGCAAATGGATATTCAACCATCTTTGGTGAGTGTGTTGGGACCAGTTCCGCAAACAAAGTTGCTGTTGCATTTTCATGTTTTCATGCGTTGTCTGATTTGTTTTAGGTCTCCCCGCCTCGGATATGTGCACCGGACATGCGCAATGCGATTCCTAAGGTTCGTACATGTTTAGGCACTTAGCCACATCTGTTGGTTCTGGGCTCAAAGATTGGCATGCAGTTGGGTGTGTCTGAGAACGGGGTGTAAAGTATACCCCAAGAATTCCTATTTAAACTGGGAAAATAGGTGAAAGTGATTAAGCATAAAATTTTGGGTACCCAATGTTCACGCATGCTCACGCAAACCTAATTGGAAAAAGTGTTTGATGGAACTTGTTACGATGCAACGTTCAGGTGGTGTTCTAGGAATCCTTAATTCACCGATTTCCTAGATTCTGATAGATTCTGCTATATAGTATTCTAGTGTATTCTAAGGTATGGCATTTCTAGTCTGTTTTTGGACAATGGAATTTGCTTGAGGCGTTTTGGTATGACCGCAGATGTCAGAAAGGCTTGGGATGCTTTTGCTGCTGCTGTTGCTGTGCTTTGGACATATTAGGTAATTGGAAATTATAGAACGTATTCGCTACAACCCCTATGTTTGCACACGACCGATCCCGCATATCTTTTGACATGCTCAATTCCCCACGTAGGGCGAATGGGGTCTTCAGCCCAGAATAGCTCCGGTGTGCACTGGTGCAGGCGCCGGGTCAGGTTCAACGAGGTTCCGGAGAAGGTTCCGAAGGTTCTGGAGAAGGCCTGGGAGGCTGGTGCAGAGCCAGGTCAGGTTCAACAGGATTCCGGAGGAGAAGGGTCCAGGAAGCCTTGGTGCAAAGCCAAGTCAGGTTCAACAGGGTTCCGGGGATTTTTGGTAACAGCTCTGGGGTTGTGGAGAGCAGCTCTGGGGTAGCTTCGGGGACCAGCTTTGGACAACAAATTTCGGGAACAGCTTTGGGGAGCAGCTTTGTGAACAGTGTTTTGGAGCAACTGTGGGGCGCAGCTATGCGCGGAGAAGCTTTCGATGACGCCTTTTAGGAACAGCTTTCGGGGCATAGCTTTGGGAAACCGCTTTGGGAATTAGGTTTTGGTAGCACATTTGGAGAGTATTGGGTAGTACGTGAAGAGTCGCGGATTTGTGATTGATATTATCGAGTTTCCATATTTACAGGGCGAGCGTTATATATATTGGTTGCCGATGGTTAGGGTCCCTTTATTTCTTATCGGAAAGGCCCTATGTATGTTTATATATATATTATATATATATATGCTTAATTATTCGATTGAGGGTTCCTTAATTTCTTAAATATTTCTTAGTACAGTATTTTATAATTAGCTAAATTTGAACTTGTAAAAGTGGGGTTGCTTTTGCACAGCTCTCTTCGTGAATTTGACTCCGCTATGCTTGTGTTACTCCCCATTGGCTCTTGGACGTAAAGGAACCGTTACCTAATCTCCTCTGCAGAAAGCTCTTATTAATCCTTATATAATTAGAAAATTAACGGATTGGATTTTTTAGTGATGTATTGAATTGAATCTTTACCCGGTGATGTTTCCCCTATATAGGGCTAAGAAATTGAGGGGATGGATTTTTTAGTTATATATTAATTCGAATTTTTACGCGGTAATGTTTCTTTTCTGCAAGGTTTTTATAAATATGTATATGGCTAAGAAATTGAGGGGCTGGATTTCTTGATTTTATATTGAATTGAATTTTTATTCGGTGATATGTTCTTTATATAAGGCTCTTAGAACTCTTATAAACCCTTATATGGCTAAGAAATTGAGGGAATGTATTTTTTAGTTATATATTGATTTTGATTTTTTCCCGGTGACGTTTCCCTTTTACAAGGTTCTTATAAATATTTATAAAATTAAGAAATTGAGGAATTGGATTTCTTAATTATATACCAGTAGTACCGCACAAGGCGGTGGCGGAAGTTTCAAAAATAGGAAACCTATAGGAGAGGTTGGTTGTTGTGAATCATGGATGGCAGAGCGAAGCCACTGATGGACCGAAAGGTGGTTGAGGTCTCTTCTCTTTCTCTCTCTTTCTGTCTCTTTCTCTACCCACCTATCTATCTATGCATCCATCTATCTCTCTCTCTGTCGTGTAGTGCAGTGTGGTGTAGTGTAGTGTAGTTTCGTGTAGTGTAGTGTAGTCTTATATAGTTGTAGTTGTAGTTAGTGTGACGTAGTGTAATGTAGTGTAGTGTAGTGTAATGTCATTAGTGTAGCGTAATGTAATGTAGTGTAGTTGCAGTTGCAGTTGTAGGTGTAGTGCAGTGTTATTCAGTGTAGTCTAGTGGGGTGTAGTGTAGTGTAGTGTAACTGGTGTAGTGTAGTGTAGCATAGTGTAAATGTAGTATTGTTGTAGTTGCAGTTGCAGTTGTAGTTGTAGTGTAGTGTTATTTAGCGTAATGTAGTGGAGTGTAGTGTAGTGTAATTCGTGTAGTGTAGCGTAGTGTAAATGTAGTATTGTTGTAGCTGTAGTTGTAGTTGTAGTTAGTGTAGTGTAGCGTAATGTAGTGGAATGTAGTGTAGTGTAGTGTAATGTAGTGTAGTGTATTTGAGTGTAGCGTAGCGGAGTGTAATGGAATGTAGTGTAATGTAGTGTAGTTGTAGTGTAGTTGTAGTGTAGCGTAGTGGAGTGTAATGTAGTGTAGTGTGGTGTAATTGAATGTAATTGAATGTAGTGTAGTGGAGTGTAATGCAGTGTAGTGTAATTGAATGTAATTGAATGTAGTGAAATGTAATGTATTGTAATGTAGTGTAGTGGAATGTAGTGCAGTGTAGTGTAGTGTACTAAAGTGTAGTGTAGTGTAATTGAATGTATTGTAGTGGAGTGTAGTGTGTGTAATGTGGTGGAGGTGTACTTGTAGTGTAGTGTATTGGAGTATGGGGGTTGTAGTTGAAAATTTTACAAAATCTTTAGATTTTGTTATATTTATTTTTAATAAATTGCATAATTCTTTGTATTTGCTATGCGGAACGAGATTTTAATGTTTAAAAGTTATTCGAAACCCTGAATTTTAATATTTTAATGTCGAAATGTATTTTATGTTTTAACGGTATGTACTTTTTTGATATTTTAATCTTTAAAAATAGTCCGAAATTGAGGTGTTTTTTAATTTTGATTTCGAAATGAATTTTGCGTTATAATGGTGTGTTTTGTTTGAAATATTTTAATTTCTGAAAATATTCGGAATATATTGAATTTTACATATTTTAATTTCGTACTATAATATTATTTATTTTTTCTTATCTTTTATTTGGCTAGATGGCACCGTACCCGCCGCTTTAGCGAGCCTACTTTTCGACTTACTGGAGCCACGAATTATTGAAAAAATATAATATTGGGGTAATTTTTCTGTTTTTTTATTTATCTATATTTTTTTTTTGATTTTTTTTTTTTTCTGATTTTCTCTTTTCTATTATCCTCTTCTTTCTGGTCCTTTTTATCTTTGCTTTTTATCTGTGCATATGTCGGAAATTTGATTTTTAAATTTTCTTTGATTAAATTAAACCTAAAAATTCGATTTTGGGTTGGTCCGATTTTTTATTTCTTATTCCTAATTATATCGTAATTATTTAAAATTAATTTTATCGGATATTTATTTACAAGGGAAATTAATTTTATTTTCTATTCCGAAAAAAATAATAATAAATTATTTTATAATTAAAAAAAATAAATATATATATAAAGGAAATCCTTCCCATATACTTCATTATTTTGATTCTGAAAATTCCTATATATATATATTTTATAATATGAAAATATATTTATTATATTGGAATTATTTTTGATTATAAATTATAATTTATAATAATTTTGGGAATCCGGATTGTTGAATTAATAGAATTATATGGAATTTAATATATATATTTATAAAATAATTTAATTAATATTTTAATATATTTAATAATAATAAAATAATAATTTATTTTTTTTATAATATATAAATTAGTTATTTTACTATAAATTTAGAAATTGGAATATATAACGAATAATTATTTTTATAGGATATAAATTATAATTTATTATTTTGATTTAATAATATTATTTTGAATTATATTTATTTTAAAATAATTATATCTTAAATATAT